CTTCGGGGCGGTGTAAAGCTGGAACGTTGCTTCTTAAGGTTCCCGCGCCCAAGGTCACTCGGCGCGCTGGAAGATGTTCTTTTATGTGGAGGCACGTAACGGGCTCTTTCTGCTGTTGGCGAGCCGTGGCACTGGGCGCACGATGAAGCTGCTGGGCAGTGGTTGAGCCTGGCACAGCCGCTGCGGGCAGTCAGCCCTCCTGCCCAGAAACGCCCCGCTCTTACCTCACCCAAAGGTGCCACGCTTGACTTTTGCCCAGGCCTGTCGAGGCAGCAGAAGCCTGGCACACCTTGTGCAGCCTGCCGTAGGCCCACGGTACAAATATCATCTCATGCTGAGCCGTGAGAACAGATAAGGCTTCCTTTAAACTTATTTTATTGTCAAATAAAAGGCAGGGCTGATTCATTAATTGCTCTGGCTAATTATAGCTTTCCAAATTCGTGCAGTGCATACTGCTCATGCTGCATTGCCAATGCATCTATTTCCCCCTTGTTCTGAAAGCCCTGCAAAATTGCACGTGCTCTTTCTGCAATATAATTTCTAAGGCAGGCAGTATTTTATTTAAATTCTTTTGAATAATAACAAAGCTGTAAAAAAAAGAATCAGAAAAAGATGTTGGGAATGCCATCTGCTTTTGCATCACTTTATTTTTTAGATCATGTGAGTAGTATGTAAACCACATTTGGATTTCACTTTAGTAAGTGGAAGCATAGTGGCTTTTAATAGCTTAAGGGCTTGTTCTGTTCCTGACTCTGCTACCGATGCGATCTGTGCCTTTGGGCAAGTCATTATACAGTCAGGTTTTTTAAAAAGGCCTCCAGTTTAGGGGGCCTGATTTCAGGCATTGAGGCTCGATTTTCTTGAGCTTTCAGGCATTGACAGCCCCTGTGAGTTTCAGTGCAAGGAGTGTGTACTGCAGATCAAGCTGAAGGTGTCTGACTCAAAACCATTCAAGCCTTTAAAGTTGACCTTGACACTCTAGGGCTTCTTTTCTAGTTCATATGATTATTCTGAATGAACATATGACTGAGGAGGTGTTTTGAGAGCCTTACATGAGCAGTATAAGTGTATGAGTTGTAATTTTTATTATGTGTTTATGTATCACTGTAATGAATACAAATTTACTTGCTCTGGTGAAAAAGACAATGTTAAATCAGAAGAAATCAGCTCTTACATGATCGAGAGGAGGATGTCAGTTTTGAACTGAGGCAGCTTGAATTCTGTCACAGCTCTGCCGCAGGAGGACGATCCCTGCAGGTCACTTCATTCACATCACAGGGTTTGTGATTCTGCTGAGGCACTTTGAGTCAAGTGCCTGGTTGCCCGGGGATGGTTCCTCTGAGAGTCAGGCCAGCCTACCTAAAATGAATCAGCACCCCCCGCAAGCCCTGACCTTTGCGGACTGAAGAGAAGTGCTGGGGGAACTTGTCTCCCTGCTTGAGTGACTCAGCTACCTGGAGGGGCATGAATTGAAAACTTACCCATGAGTGATGAAGATGCTGAAATACTATTGCTTCTGGCTTGAGTTGGAGATACTCACTGTTAAAGAAAGTCAGGGCAGGAGCATCTCTGCTTGTGTTCCTCGTCTATAAAATGAAGCTTACCCATTTCAGGCTTGGCTTGTCATAGAAGCCATAATCTTAATATTGGAAATTATTTCAGTTTTCATTACGGATGTGCTCCTAGAATCAGTTATGGATTCATTAAAGTTATTCCTTTGTAAGCTTTTAAAATATATCAAATTAATAAGTGAAGAAAAGGGAATAAAAAAAAACCCAAATTCAGTTATGGAGAAAACATTATTGTTTAGCAGCTGAGGTGCCTATGTCGTACTTGGCAAATTTTATTTCTGTTCTTCACTGTTCACAAAAACAGGCAAACAAAATTTAGCTTTGAACTCACAAGTTAAATAAAACGGGAGGATTCAAAAAACCATGCTCTCTACTGAGTTGTCCTACTTAGGGAAGCCTCCATATAGCACAGCAAATTCAGCTGTTGTCATTCCCATGTGAGGAGAGGCTGTGAATAGCAGCACTGCATGGTCCAGGCTATTAGATTTGGTTGAACTGGCAGAAAGTATGGGGTGGCTTGGAAACACCTGTGTGCACTCATCAGTGCACGCAGTCACACTTCAGCACCTCTGAAATAGCTCCCATGGTTTTAAAGCAGAAGGCACAATATTTTGACTAATGAGGTTCAACCAAGCATCTTGACTTTTCTGATATGAAAAAGTAATCAAGGACTGTGTTTGCTTTCAGTGCATTGGCACTTGAGTCACAGTGTCTCTGGATAGTGTGTCTGTACAGATAGTCTGTTATTTGTGCCTTCAGAAAGATATCGGTGCTCAAAATGTGATCATTGAACAGGGAGCTGAAAGATTCAGTAAATCCTACGGGCTTATATAAAATAAGGACATAGTTATTTTATTAGTTTGTAGTGTAACAGTAAAGGCAACCTTTTCAGTTTACCATACATCAACACTGAGATATTTCTTTCATTATTCAACAAGGTGAAGATGGCTTTTTCACTTGCCTCACCATGTTTTCCTATGTAGATGTTTGACTGTGGTAGAATATTGCAGTAGATAGCTTTGTCGTCAGAAAGGTCAGAAGAATGATTGTTGTACTGAGACCACGGTATCAGCAGATACCAAGACAAAAGGAACAAAGAGCCCATCGTGTTTAACTAGCTAGACAGATGCCATACTACCCCTAGGACAGGAGGTAGTAATAAAATCCCTTCTTCACCTCCTGTTTTGTTCCCCAATTCCACCTTTCCCTGCTACAGGGCTGAAGTACTGCATACTTCAGATAAAGTGTAACCACTTAAATTTAAATAGATGAGCAGAAAGAATGGTGTCACTGTGATCAAATAGTTGTTGCCTAATCTTGTTGGTTGCAAATAGAGTAAGCCAAGCTATTGAATTGTACCTCTGGAATTGAGAAGGATGATGTTGATTTAATATTTATGATGGTTTGAAAGTCATATTATGTAAAAACTGTCAGATTGAAGCTAGTCAAACAGCTGTGCCCTCCGGCTGCACAACAGAACGGCTGAATGTCGATCGAGCTCTTCTTCTGAGTAAACCCATGGAGCTTTCTAGTAGTGGCTACCTGCTGAAGTGGTTAGTTGAAAGATGCAGATGTATAATCAATGTACTCACTCTTCCCAAACATCTTTCCCTTCCCGTGTCTGTTTCACACATGTGTTAGGTGATGTAGGCAGCAAGCTGAGAGCCCACCTCCTATGCCACTTGACTAGTTTTCACGTAGCTGCAAGTATCATCATGTTATTGCAAATAATTGATGTAAAATGGTTTCTCTTTGTGCCACTTTAGCCTCATACTCAGAACTGGGAGCTATGTTCATTGGAAAAAGGGAAGGGCTTGACTTGCCATTCTGTATTTCTGTCTCTTTCCTTAATGGAACAGGCATAAATGGAACAGGCATATACTTACCAGTGTTGTATAAAGCAGGGTAGATACCCTGCTGACTCAATATCCCACCAGCCAACTGTTGCTGTGATCTCTTTAGAAACGATGTCACAAAATTTCATAGGGAAAAATGTGCTGGTTGACTTTTGGTGGTGGGAAGCAGCTGGTGAAATGCTGCAGGACCAATGCTGCTGATGAGCTTTTGCAGAGCACCACGTGAGGGGTCATCCAGTAGCAGATCTGTGGTGGAATGACACGCTGCTTCTCAGTGAGTCTTTGTGCAGATACTGGGTTTGATTCTGGTCTCACCTTCACTGGAGTGAATTGTCTGTTGAAATGAAGAGAACATGTCTGGTGTTAAACTAAAGGAAGAAAAGCCAGAATCAAGACCTCACCTTTTCAAAATCTATAGAAATCAATTTTTTTTTTTTTGGTTCTGTTCTAAATTACATTGTTGTGGATTTTCTCATCTACTACTTCTACATGTAGTGTGAAGAATTTGCAGTTTTTTCCCCCTGAAAGAAATGTATGAAATACATCTAGTGTTCCCAAACATTTGCAATGCAATGAACTTTTCTCTGCTAATCAACTTCAGCATCCTTTGTCAACCCTGGGATGCTTATAACTTAAGTAAGGTCAGCAGATGTTGCCATGGATTTTTTACTTCGCGAGCTAAGGACGAATTAAATTTAGCAACTGTAGCTGAGATTATCAATGATTTATGGTATTAACTGGACAGCAAAGTTTTTCTGTAGAAATAACAAGTCCATAGGGACTGAGTTAATTGCTGTTTTTCAGTGCAATAACCCAGTGTGATCCCTCCTCAGTTCTGCATTATGGTAAATGTGAGTCCTGGCACTAATCATTATTATCTTCTCATCTGGCATTTGGAGCTTTGTTAGTGGTTATTTGTCTGGAATGATTACATTTGTTGACACTAATTTGTAATGAAATTATTATTTAAAAGGGAAGAACAGTCTGGTTACCTGCATCTCTGTGCTCTTGATTTTTTTTTTTCCATTGCACCTATAAAATAAAAGTCATTTGATAAGGCTCATTAGAAGGTAACTGATGTTTCTGCTAATCCTCAAGTACCATTGTAGTCTGGGAGAGATTCATTATTGTGTGTTTCTGTTTATGACAGAATGCAAAGTCTGGCGAAATCCTTTAAATCTGTTCAGAGGAGCTGAATATAATCGGTAAGTGTTATGATGTTACAGTTTCAGGCATAGTACTAGGTTAAGGACCTTAACTGTACTTTCCCATTAACCTAACTCAGAGATGGAAAACCAAAACCAACCATGGACACATGCACTCTCATGCCATGATTTTCTGTCATTTGTAAAATGTTTCTGAATGAAAAGGAATTTAACTTCATGGTCATGCACTTTTTATTTCTGCTTTTTTTGGTGACCTTATAAAAAGATGAAAAAACCTAAGTGTGGTGTACCTGGTACTGTTAATACAGTAATTCTGTTTAAATCAGTTATAGCAAACAACCTAATGAATTATATCTAGGTTTCATGTAGTCTTAATGTTTGAATATGTGTGTTACTGATTTCCAGTGTGTACTTTCCAACATGCTCATTAGCTTAGGTTCAATTACTGTCTCTCCATCACAGTACAGGGAAATGCGATGTATGTTGGTTAGGAGATTGGCTGGGTGAACTTAGTAGGCTGCGCCCATCTCTAACGTCTAGGATTCTTTTCTAGATTCCTTTTGCTAAATGTGACCTCATTAACCAAAATGTCTCTTCGTTGGCATGTTTGCAGGTATACATGGGTAACAGGGAGAGAACCTTTGACTTACTACGATATGAATCTTTCAGCACAGGACCATCAGACATTCTTTACATGTGACACAGATCATTTACGGCCTGCAGATGCTAGTAAGAGACCTTGTGAACAACCTTTTTTGCTAATAGGTTAATGATTGTTTTAAACTGATGCAAGAAAAATGTAGTCAGACATCAATTCTCTCAGATAGATAAGGAAAGGCAAAAGTTTGATCGTGCCTGGAAAGACATTGCTGTTGGATTCATAGTATTCTAGATCTAAAAAAGTATCTCTGTAGGTATAAATGTTCTAATTTGTGTCCTTATTTTGTTCTACTTTCTTGCTGAAGTCATTTAAAGTACCATTTGCAAGTGTAAAGACTTGGGTTTTCCTCATGTTTCTTGCAGTGGCTTGAAACATGTATAGCTTAATTTGCCTCCAGCTGCAGTGTAGTATGTTGAGTTACATTATCCAGGTCCCATTTAGTCTGTGCTGACAGAAGAGAGAGAGCTTATGTAAAACTTGAGTCCTGTGTTTCATTCCCTGATGTAGTTAGAAGCTCTGTAAAAAATGGGAATAACACATTTACAACTGAATTTGGTATAAGCAGCTTTAGTTGTGGTAGGCCTTTACTGTTAAGTCCATGTGCAGACTTTGGTTCTGCTAAAAATGTACAACAATGATTTTGATCATCAGAATTTGCTTCTGAAGAGACAAATCTTCTTTGTCCCTTAGGAAAGGAGAGATACTGACGGTTGGGTGGTCCATTCTGAGGGCATAACTACAAAGCATAATATACTATCCTTCTTTGATACATGATGAACATGAAATCCTGTTTTCTGAACTCGATGGGCTAATTATAAGGTAGTCTGATTAGGCTGGATTTTGTTTCCATTTAACATTCACTTGAAGCAACAGCACAGTGAGGAACTAGAATAAGAATCCCAGCTGTCCTTGTATTCTTTTGTGCCCTGTGGAATCTACTACCCCAAGAGGAAAAAACTGCTTGTCACCTTTGTATGTGACAGTGCAGATGGCATGATCTCTCAGCCAGATTTTCCCATGGAAAAAAGTTTAATTAAATGAAACAATAAAGCTGAGTATTTGGGACAAAAGCTTGTGTTGATTATGTATCTTTTGAGTGATCACTGAGCTCTTTGAAATGCTCTGGACTGAGTCAGGCTGAGAGCAATAAATTTTGTTGTTACAATACAGTAGATTCTCCTTGTTAATGCTGTAATGACTGATATGCCCCTGTTCTGCTTTGTTTATTGAATAGTAATGCAAAAAGCCTGGAGAGAGAGAAACCCCCAAGCCCGAATTTCTGCAGCACATGAAGCTTTGGAATTGAATGAGTGAGTGACAACAACATTAACATTTATTTCCTGTCATTTAAAAATCCATTTGATGATAGCTTAAGGCAGGGGGTTTGCTACAGTAATTTTTAACCATGATTACAGGCCTGTCACAGGAAGGCCTACAATGGGAGGAAAAAAGCACAGCTGCATGTTCTGCTAGCCACCCAGAAGCTCCTTAGGGCAGTGATGACAATCGGAGTCTTCCCATTGATGTCAGTGGGCTTTGGATCAGCATAGCAAAGTGTTAATTAAGTTGCCTCCTGATGAGCATATGAAATATGCATTTATGGGATAGAGAGTTCCCTTTTGGATTTCTCGGTCATCCTGAACAGAGGCAAGAAAGAAGGGACTCATAAACACCTTCTGAAATATTCGTTTCATAGTGTGAGAGAATATGATGTAATTTTCTGAGGCTTTCAGTCTTTGAGTCCGCTATTTATTTTCTCAATGAGAAGTGTAGTATTCTGAGATCCCACAATAAACTCAGTGCTGTGGTGCTTTACTGGCATTGCAAACTGTGTAAATGTTGCCAAAGTGCATAAAGTGGAGAGAGTCCCTTAGATTGCTGTCAGAGATTATTGCGTTCTAGAATTCCATAAATTGGTGCCTCCGGATTGTCCTTCATGTGTTTCATCAGAAGGAGAAAAAGAATTGTTTGTTCCTGCACAGCAGTTTAACTGAGGGAGCATGTAGCATAAAAGGCTTTTGCAGAAGCGAGCTATAGGCCTATCCTGTTCTACTCACATATCACAGAATCACAGAATGGCTGAGGTTGGCCGGGACCTCTGGAGATCATCTGGTTCAACCCCCTCGCTCAAGCAAGTTCACCTACAGCATGTTACACAGGACCATGTCCAGATGGCTTTTGAATATCTCCGAGGAGGGAGACTCCACAACCTCCTGGACAACCTGTGCCAGTGCTCAGTCACCCTCACAGTAAAAAAGTGTTTCCTGATGTTCAGACAGAGCCTGCTGAGTAGTAGTTTGTGCCCATTGCCTCTGGCCCTGTCATGGGGCACCACTGAAAGGAGGCTGGCTCCATCCTCTTTGCACCGTCCCTTCAGATATTTACAAAGACTGATGAGATCCCCCTGAGCCTTCTCTTCTCCAGGCTGAACAGTCCCAATTCTCTCAGCCTTTCCTCATATAAGAGATGCTCCAGTCCCTTAATCATCTTCATGGCCCTTTGCTAGACTCTCTCCAGTATGTCCATGTTCCTCTTGTACTGGCGAGCCCAGAACTGGACGTAGCACTTGAGGTGTGCACCAGTGCTGAGTAGAAGGGAAGGATCACCTCCCTCAACCTGTCATTAGGCAACACTCCTAATGCAGCTCAGGACACTGTTCACCTTCTTTGCTGCAAAGGCACATTGCTGGCTCATGATCAACTTAGTGTCCACCAGAACCCCCAAGTCCTTTCCTGCAAAGCTGCTTTCCAGCTGGGTAGCCCACAGCAAGTACTGGTACCTGGAATCTTGTTTTCACCTAGACCTGTTGTTTCCTGTTCCTCAGCTGATGACTGTGAAACAACTAGAGGCAGCTGCAGCCCAATTCTATTTCTATATGAAAAAGAATCTTATCAGTGGTGTGCTTTGTATCAGAAAGAAGTCAACAGGCTATATCCCACCTAACTTCAGCTGCCAAAAATGTGGCCGTTGAGTTTAAAGTAGCTACTTCTCTATAGTCAATGAGAGATGCCTCCAGTCAGCAATTCACCCTATTCTTAAACAGATGTTTATACAGGTGAAATGAATGGCTTTGTGAAGATGCTCCTCGATGGAGGTGGAGGGACACAGATAGTTCAAGAGATCTAAATTAGACAGCTAAAAAGCTGGATGAGGTGACTCCCACCACAGATTTCACCTTTCTGTGTACTCCTAAAGCTGCTTTCCTGCTTTGGGTTTTTTGGGGTTTGTTTTGTTTTTTAATCTCTACAATTACATTCATAATCCGTTCATTTTATATGGCATGTGTTATAGGTCTATTGATTCTTTTCATACTATTACAGTAATGGAGACATTTTGTGTTAAAACAATAGTGCATAAAACTAGTCTTGGTTTCCAGAAGGTGTTTTAGTGATGTAGACCACGATTGCTTAGTGAGACAGTGCTTTACTTTCTGGGGTGGTTGTCAGTAGGTTCACTCAAGTGGCTGAGTGATACAGTACCTACAAATGAGAGTCACGATCTGGTTGCCAGAATATGTACTCATCAGAAGAGTTCATCAGAAAGGTATATGGACAAAACTCCACTGCCTCTGTATTTGGTACATCCTTGCCAGTCTGCATGTCTTTGTTTAGTTCTTAACTTCATGCAACTTTCCTATGGTTTTCCCTTTGATATTTTTGCAGGTGTGCTACTGCCTATATTCTCCTGGCTGAAGAGGAAGCAACAACAATAGTAGAAGCAGAGAAGCTGTTCAAGCAAGCTCTGAAGGCTGGAGAGGGCTGTTACAGGCGCAGTCAGCAGTTGCAGCACCATGGTGCCCAGTATGAAGCCCAACACAGTAAGCTTCTTTGGAGGCAATAGCCGTTTCTAAAGGGAGAGAAGTTCTGGGGAGTTCTTTGGGTTTGGTTTTTTGTTGTTTTGGGGTTTTTTTAACCTCTCAGAACTATGTACTCAGTATTTAACATTGACTGGAATATGGCCCTAGAACCAGACTATTCTGTTTCAGTTTTTTGCTTGATTCTGTTGCTGAGCTAGCAATTCTCAGATTACAGATGCACTTTTTCTTTGTTGTGGCAGAAAATATTGTCGCGTGTACTTAAAAGAAAAGGTAGCAGAGCCAAAAGAGATTTGTTGTTCATAAAATGCTGGACGCTGTTTTAGGAATTTGCACTGAAGTGCCTTTAGCCATTTTGAAAACATGGGCTCATGTTGTGAAAAGGCAGTAAAGAATGATGGAAACAGGAGTGAAGTGATGCTTTGCCAGCTTTTTCCCATTAGCTGTGAGGGTAATACGTACAGCACATTGTTCTGTGTAAAAGTTAACGAGACCCATTAACCAGTGTGACATTTGAAAAGTTAGTTGCATACATTAAGAAAGGTCACAGAAACATAAAAATTAACAACTGGAATAATACAGTGCTCTAACTGAAAGTCTAGATTTATTTTTTTTTTAATTTTTGAAGAAGCAGATTTAGTTGCCGTGATGATATTTGTTAGATGCTTCTTAAACCTAAGAAAATACATGAGGGTTCACTGCCAGTAAATGAAGAAAAAGATAAATAAAGCAAACAGTGTAGATTATTTCTAGTCTACAATGGCTACCTCAGGCAAAAATAATACCAATTAATTATGTAAGTACAAGCGCTAGCATACTTTGGGCATCTTTGGGTTTCTCAGGACCTGAATTCACAGCCTCTGGCTAGCTCACATAATTTGAAGATTGCTGATAAAAATTGTACATAGTGAAATTGTCTGTGATCTCTTGTTTCAAAAGTGTACACAAGTCTATACCTGAAAACCTGAGGTTTTGTAAAGCTTAGGGGTAGTAGTTTAAACATTTGTTGGTTATAAAATGATATTTAGGATGATTTGCTTATTTTTGGAGAAAATAAGAATGTAGAGCAGCTGAGCCCTTGAAGCAGTTTTCAAGCTCTAGCAGGCTTATGGTTGTCTGTGAAACCTTAATCTGTGCGCTCAATCCATCCTGAGTGCCAAAAATGACAGCAATTCTATGAAAAATACACAATAAGAGTAATTAAACACTGTCATGATGCTTTTGTCCAAGATAACCTGGTTAAGTTTGTGCAGGCAAAAATAAGTATGGTATTTTTGTAACCTGTGTATGCTAGATGGCCACTGCCATCATCAGATTTGACACCTTGAACCTCCAGTATTACAGCAGAGGAAGTAACCAGTTGAATCACAACAGTAAGTGCATTGCCACAGAGCAGGAGGGGCCGAAAAGTGACTGCCAGCTCTGACTGTGGCTTCAGGAGGGGATGGATCGTTGTACTTCTCTATACCACCCAGTCTCCCCTGGATAATGTCAGTGTGCACCCACAGAAGTTAGAGAAGTTCCAGTCTCAGATGGTGCCTTGGACACAGGGGCTTCAAATAGGATTCTCTTGATTATATGCTGGACTTCTGCGTGGTTTACAAAGGTGAAAAGCTCAGCTCTCATTAGAGAGGAAGGACCATGGACAGATATGTTGCAGTTCCATGGTTCTGAGATGTCTGTCATTCCGTTTCTGGTCCTTAAAGTTGACTTGGAGATGAAAAGTGGCATGTCATCTTTTGTGGGTGAAAACATTATGTAATTTCTTGAACAACAGCATACGTGATTGCACTATGTTTCTGTTTATTCGTGTGTCCCATCTTCTTCATACAGTATTTTATGTTAGACTGTGAATTTTATGAGTAAATAATGACTCTGAGTACCCAACTTAACCTCTTTCAAAAGTTGCTAGTTACAGAAAGTGCAGGCAGTCTTTTTTTTTTTTTTTAAGGTGGCTGTTAGTCACCCCAAATCATTAGTCACCTCAGAAAATTTTGGCCTGAAAGGTTATCTTTATTTTATAGTAAGTAAATGCCTTTTGACCATTCCTCCTAAAAAGACTGAGAAGCTTGGCCTGAAATGCATACCTCTTAGTTACACTACATAAATATGTTGAAACAGATGAAGCTGTTAAATTGTTTATTAAATATATAGGAATCAATACAGAGATAAGGAATTACATAATTTAAAATACAGCTAAAGAAATTCCTTCCCTCAGTTAGTTTTTTTTTCTTCTGAAGTCAGACCTTTCAACCTGCTGCTTAATCTATTTGAAAATTGTAATCACAGCTTTAAAACAATATGTAGGTTCTTGGAATGTTTTCAGTGCACATCTTATTCTTATTATGAAAGACTTGAAAATGTTAGGAACAGACTAAAATCTTTACAGACTGCATACTATACACAAAGATAATTTGTAGCAGGTGTCTTGTATTTTCACGATATGGTAATTTTATAAATGATGACCTGTCCGCTCATTTCCTGTTGGTCCAGAAGCATGTTAAGAGTTCACATTGGAATTATAGGGAAGAGAATGAGAAATGAAACGAGTAAGACTTCTCCAATAGAATAATTACTGTAGCGGTTTAGTTTCTGTCATCTTTGCTGTTAGGGCATCTTCCAGCTCGTAGGACTGTTATATCTGAAACGTTAATTTGCCATCCATAATTAGCAGCATGAGGAATTTGAAGATGATAATTGGGTAACAAGTAAAACCTCTGTAAACAAAAAGTTTACTTTTTTTCTTCTAATCATTAAGAAAAAGACTGTTAGATGATGAGGATTTGTTTTGCTACATCTCCTCTTAACAAGCATGTACATCATAACTTAGAAAAAAGGCAGGATATAACGTGCATTTTCATGGATGCCCTTGTCTTAACCATGTGTGTGAACTGGTAAGTAATTTAATGCTCTGTGTGTGACCATAGAGTTTTGGCCCAATATGTTAACTACATAGGGGTTCTCCTTGCCTTACTTGATTACTCGATAGTGTGTAGCCTATAGTGTTCTCTGTACCTTCAGATCTGCTTATATTTCGTAGGTGTAAGGCCAACCCATGGGTCCTTATTTATACCACTGTGTATATCTGGAGTAATTTCAGTGATGCTGTGTCACATCTAAATCAGCAGAATTCAGTAAATTTTTATTAAAATTATGGTGAAAGCGTTAATGTGGTGAATATCAAAAAATGGCCAGAAAACTATGTTTCCTTTTGTGTTGAAATAGTAAATGAATGTTTGTTTTTTTTAATCTTAATGCTGTTTCTTTTTCCTCTTATACAGGAAGGGACACGAATGTGTTAGTTTATATTAAGAGGAGACTGGCAATGTGTGCAAGAAAGCTGGGAAGGACCAGGGAAGCAGTGAAAATGATGAGAGATGTGAGTTTGGATTTGTTTCACATGTGATACTTAGATAATAGTAGTGTAGAAATGATACACATTTGCTTACAAGTTAGTATCCATTCCTGCTGCATGCAGCACTGCTGACAGTCATTTTGTATGTGTAATGTACATAAAGATTAAGTTAATTAGAGATCATTTATTTATAAGGTTGCAAAAGCAACACTGAAGTCATAAAATACCAGAGGGACAGTTGCCCATCCAGGCTGAATTTCCCATCCTGGTACACGTGCAATGGAGTGCAGTCTTTAATTATTTGACTGTGAAGTTACTAACATTTTTTCTGAAGCATGTAATGAATGCCGCTAACTTAATAAACAGGCCTTAAGTGTTCTGTTTCCACCTTGCAAAGCTGCACTTTGGCTCTGTGCATTGTTTACGTCACACTAGTCAGACCTGAGGACAGTATTAATTATTCATGCAAAACCTATTACTGAGAAGTCAAAACCAAGTGATTAATCTACAATGAAGTGATTTCCCTCTGAAAGAGGGGATGACTTTATCCCTGTTTTGTAGTCAGGGGAGCTACCAATGGTAGTTATAAGTCAGTAAGCTATAAAGTGACAAATTTGAAACACCAAACAGTAGCTATTTTGGGGATGTCAGGAGGGGCAGCTGTCCACGTAAGGCACTGTATATGTTTCAATATAAAATGCTCAAGTTTAGAGATAGCTGCCAAAGCCCAGCATTTCTTCAAGTGAGATCCCCTGGATGCAGATTAAGAACACAATTCTTTGAGGAGACGACTTGCCTCACCTGAGGTAGCAAGTCTGTGACAGAAGGAGGAATGGAGCCCTAGAGCTCTGGCAGATGATGGTAAAACTGCTTACCAGTTTCCTGTGTTCTCCTTTCTTACACTTCATTTTCCAGCTCCCACAAAAGTGAGGTAGAGATGAATCTGGCAAGATACAGAGTTCTGCAAGTTAAGCTGAAGGACCTAAATTTTAAATGCACAAAATGGAATCTCAGACCAGAATGAAGCACCTGTAAAGTGTGCTTTAGGCAGCTTGGATGAATGGTCCCGAAACCTGCCTAGTAAAAAGGAAAATTCTCGCTGTGTGTCAGTGGGAATTTTAACGTAAAAAGGCAAGTGACTTTCTCTGGAGCTTAGACGTTTGCCATCAATGGCAGTAAGGCAAGTATGTCTGCCACCTAGGAATCCAGCACCCAGCATCTTCTCCTGGAACTGGGGCACTCATGAATATTTTTTTAAACCATTGAGCAGACTTCATCATAATAATGCAGGTCCTCGTCCTAAATAATCCACCAGATGGCAAGTGGTGAGTAACTTTGTTTCCTGTCTCTAGCTGGGGTTGTTGAGGCACACAACTCTCACTCCCCAGAATCACTAGGCTCCCAGACAGAGGTGTTGAAAAAGAACTTGTGAAAAACCCAGCCATTTTACAGCGAGGAGTGTGAGAAAGAGGGATGAGGAAGAAAGACCTGGTTTTGCAGTCTCGTGGTCAGCTGGGAGAATGTTGATTTCAAAAACATTGTTTTCAGTCCAGCAAGTTCCACTAATCCTCATGAATTTTGTTACACGGGCACTCTGGGACAAATACTGAAATGTTTGGGGACAAACATTGGAATTCTAAGTTCTGGCATTAATACACAAGAAAGATAAAATTTTGAATTTCACATTCAAATGTCACACTTCATAATTATTGCAACTTTTGGAGCTAACTATGGGCTGCTGAATGTGTTTTGTGATTTGTAGATAGGGCTATGTGGAACAGATACTCTGTGAAGCCACCTTCTGCTGATGTCAATATGTATGGTTAATTGTGTATGCAGAGCACTGGATTCAGGGACTTGGGTGGTCCATCTAGTCCTCGGTTTCTTATGCAAAGTGAGACCTAGAATGCTTTGATTATAATGAGCGGCTTATTCTGTCACTAGAGAGAAAATTGTGTGTTGTGGAAGGTAAGTACAACGTGGATCTCAAAAGGCAACAATGACAGGGAGACCCAAAGTCGTTGTTTGTTAGACACTTGAAGGACGCAAAACACTCTCCTCAGTAGGAACGTTTTGCTAAAATGAAAGGACTGGATGCAAGACAAAGGAGGTATAAAGATAGAATTTCAGCTTCTAGGGCTTCAACTCAGATCAATGTATTCTGTATTTTTCCACATACAGACACTGAGCCAAATCCTCAGAACTGAATTTAGATGCCTCTAGAGCTCTTCATTGTGAGCAAGCAGAGCTGAGAATTAGCAAGTCCCTAGATGAAATATAAAAGCAGTGGTATCTGTAGGTCACAACTCCAGTACCATGGGATCAAGAGTAGGGTCAAGTCAGCTTTGCAGATGCTTTTCTTAGACTGACTTGGAGCTACTTAATTCTGATGAATGTGTATCCTCCATTTCTTCATAGAAGACATAAATAATATACTTATGAAGAAGTTTGAAGAACATGAATGTGTCATTGAAGGTTTCTGTGTGATTGATGAGGGAGGAGATGAATTTATTCACTCTAAAAATAATATGAAGAGTATGTTGGCTGGGGACTGCTGAATCTAGCATCAGGGGACAGAGGGTGGAGGCCCTGTTTGTGTTTGAAAGATTGAAAACAGATTTCTCAAGACATGGAACATGATGGAAATGAAGTGTTAAGAGGTTCATGACACCATCTGGGAAATATGATTGGGATGTAGTGAGTCTTTGCCACTTTGAAAAAATAAAATATTTGAGAGTGTTTAATTCATTGCATATATGAGGCCATCTTGAGGACATTACTGATGGATTAGATTGTCTTACTTGAATTTTATTCAAGAAAAGACTGAGATCCTGCTTAAAACACCTTAATGGAAAGAAAATGAGTTGTTGGTGACTTAAATAAGATTTTGATTTTATGGTTATATACACTGCTGATAGGAAAATCATATTCTTTAATATTATGTTGAAGATATTTTAAACTATTTTTTTTAACTTTAAAAAAAAGTTTAAAACCAGTTTTTTTCTAATTTTAAAAAATTTGGTAGGAATTTCCTTTGCTTCTGTGATTGGTTTTGAGGCAGTATTTTGTTGTTAGCTTTGCTGCTTGGATGTCATTCATTTAGCTGAGTTGAATTAATGAGAATTACAAACCTGTAATTTTCATGGAAGCATGTAATTGAATCATACATAGGTGTTGCTTTTGCTTGTGTTTCTGATGATAATTATTTACTATATTTTGCTATAGAAACCAGCAGCTGTCACTATTTGTATATATTGAGTTAACTTATGATCTCATTTTGATTACTGTATTGTTGGAATAACTCCAGTCTAGTCAACAGAGTTATTCCAGTTTTATTCCTGTTCATACAGACCATGATATGGTCTGTGAGGGAACTAGATCTCTTTTACTGTCCCTGAGGAGAAAGTCTACAGTGCTGGTTGTTTTATTTGTTGTGCTGATTATGTTAGGAGGGTTTAAACTAGTGTGTTCTAAATTATGTTGAAAAATTTGGTATGTGAAGAGGTGAAAGACCTTAATGGTGGCTGTGGGGAATCTTCTGTATTCCTTCATGTTGTATCTTTATTGTGGACTGTGTTGCAAGCCAAGTAGCTACATGCTGATGAGCAAGGGTAGCCTTTTGTACCAGCTGCTCTCTGCTCTTTGCCGATTCCCTCACCATTGCAATGGAAGAAAACAGAAGTGTGCTGGGTTTGTGTTTCGTGGTTTTTATTGATTAAAACCAGAGAGGATGTGGAGGGTATGCAAAGGCACTTCTCCCTGTACTTTGCGGGCAACTGGATCAGTGACAGTGCTACTGAATTCAGGGGCAGACCTACAAGGTGTTTCCCTTGACTGGGTCACTGAAGTATCCGGGTGAAAATGTACCATGCAATAAAGTGAATTCTCAAATTAACTCAAGCTTCTTGGGATTGTTCTGGAGAACATTTGGACTGCGGAACAAGCTTTCATTGAAGGGTCATGCATGTTTAGGAAAGAGAAGGGTGGCAGGCAGAAGGCATGCTAGTGGACAGAGTGAACAGAAGCTCTTAATTGCTTCCTCTTTCAGAAAGAAGATGAAAGAAAATCATTCTGGAGTGTCTTTATTTCCTACCCTATGGCCCTGCACTCCCCTGAAGACTGCTTTGTAGTCTTAACAAGTATATGTTTCTGAGAAACGGTGGAATTGCAACTTGCCCCATGCTTTACAGCTTTGTTAGAAACCAGTGAGGTTTAGGGAGAGAAAAGACTCTCCAGGTCTGTCCTCAGCTCTGGAGAAGAACAGAAACCAAAACAATTTTTAAGGGTCAGAAAAGTACATTTTATTTCTGGGATCAGTCATATCTGCTGAGAAATCACTCTTCAGAACACAATAAAGGACTTAGAAGTCTACTTCTGTGTAGCTTGCTGAGGATATTTCAGTTGGATGTGTTTATGTGTTCATCTCAGTGCCCACCTGCAGTCTCTAAATGCATATTTTATGCCACAGGAGACACTAAGGAATTATCAGTACCTCAGCAGCTTGTATTGTTAGAGTGCTGCATGCTTATCAATGGGCAGCATGATAAGTTCTTTAAACACCTAGGCTGCCCTCAGCATTTAAAATGGTTTAAGAGGTTGTGTCACTTGAAGGCTTCAAAAGGGTACTTAACCTTACTAAATTTTAATGGTATGGGTAGGTTGTGTTTTCATCTTTTTATGACCAGTGGTATTAATGATTTTTGCTGGTGTGACGGTTCTGCAAATCTAGCGTACTCTCTTGGCAACCTCTTTTGCTGGGCTTTGAATAAGGTTTTCTGTTCCATATTCGATTGAATTCTTATTCTTACGTGCATTGCTGTTTTGCTCTTGGGAAATGGGAATACTTAGCCAGGACAGTGTTCTGCGCCTTGAATTATCAAGCTGTGTGAAACAAAGAAAGTACTAATTGCTAATAAAGATCTTATGATCCCTAGCAACTTAACAACACAACTTCTGCAGCTACTTGCGTCGGCAGCTACTGTCTCTCCCAAAGACTTCTGTGCTTGAGGCAAGGATTAGTGAGT